CCTGTCTCCCACTTAGATCTGTATCTCAGGGAGATAATACTGAATCCATATCTCATACAGACCAAACATTATCTGTATGAGGTATACACAAGAGACATCCCTGATCTTTGCAACAATCCTCTAAAGCAGAGTTTCCCTATCTTACCTTATCATGTATGATCACCAGGAAAAGATTTATTGAAAACACAGATTCCTGGACTGTATCCCATCCTATAGAACTAGAGTCTCTAAGATAGAGTCTGTGAATAAGTAGTTTTCAAAGAAACCCCCAGAGATTTGAAAGATTAGGCAAGTAGGGAACACTGATGATGGTAGGAATTATACCTACTTTATCAAGGAGGAAACAGATTCAGTTGAGTAACTTGGAACAGCTAATTAATTGTGGAGGTATAATTGCAGTATAACTCCAAACTTCTTATCATGTTACCTTTCTGAAGGTCATGAGGTCAGGCACATTTGTAACACTATGATGAAAATTTTATATTACAGACTTTCAATCCCGGATTTGGAAGAAAAATTGAAATTGTTCAGTTCCTTCCTCTGTTTTGCTTAGGATAATTATATGCAACCAATTTCAGAGTTATAAAGGGCTTTATAATTGCATATGGAGTATAAGGGTTCCAACCATGGCTGCAGAAGCACTCCTGAGACTGCTTTCTGACCATGCAATAGAAGCGTTTTGTCCTAAATATTCCAAATGAAGGGGAAATGGGTCAAAACAGACAAAAATAAAAATCCAGGTAAACTATATGGTTTAGATTTCTCTAACTACTGAGACCATATGGGAAGGGTTAGTTCTCCCCATTTACCCCACAATCAATAACATTAATGTACATGTTAGAGCTGAGAATATGGTCTATGTTCAAAGTAGAGAATTCCCTGCAATCTCTTTTCTGCTTAATGACACACAGAAAACAGGGTGGAGCAACTGAAGGCAAGGCCCTTTATTTCATAGAATTATTGGTTCTAACATTTGAGTGAGGCTTTCTGGATATACTAAGAAAGTTAATGGACCATTGGCAGAAATCCTTCATTCCTGATTTATAATCCAGGCAGTTTTAGTAGAAATTCTTTCAGCTCTGAACTTTTATATCAAAAACCAAATGTGTAGCAACCTTAGCCTTCAAATGAGTATGTGTAAAAAGGTACTCAAAGGTTTTCCTTGTGTGCACAACATGAATTGTTTTAAGGGAATCAATTTCCAAATCCTCATCCGCCATGGTTCTTTTCCTTAAAACTGTCTGGGAATATGCCTGTGTTCACAATAAGTCTTCTGCCATTTTATAGGGAAAAAAGGCAAGACCGTCATGCATTCCAAATCTTGATATACTGCATTAGCCAGAGGTACAAAAACTTTATTTGGATGACAAACTAAAGTAGAATTTGGAATATTGGTTTTAACGAAGATATTTTAATGGTTGATCAGAGCATATTAAACACATAAAAGCATTTTCTTTCCTTGTCTTATCATTACTTTAAAAGTGAAGCTTGGCCTCAGTTGGAATGTTCTGGGTACAGAACATCCATAATTATTATGATGACTTGTATATTTTAAAATTTAACTGAATCTTTTCTAAGAGTATCTAATTTTTTCAAGAAAAAGTATCTATCAATAAATATGTTGTGATTTATTTTAAGATCAGTATGCCAATTGATCAATAGATAGGGAACAGCTATTTTATTTTTTGAATCATGTAAAATTACTGTGGACTTCATCTTATAAAATGTTTAACATTATATATCACATTATCACATTAATAAAGCAAACAAACTTATGCTGAAAAATTTTGCATGTTACATAGAGAGGGTATGTGTTTCAAAATCATTTTAGGAATGACACTGGCAAAACATTTGAAGATCACTGAACTAGTTGTGTCTGAATTAAAGTTGGTGGTCAATAAATAAATGCTGAATAAATAATTACTGAATATTGAATGAATGAATACCCGAGCAGCTGCCTAATGAATCTATGGCACATATCCAGAACATCATGAAATATCTGAACTTTTCCCCTTAAATTTAATATAGCTCAATCCTCCTGGCTTTATGTTCAGGAATCCTCAAAGATGCATCTAATACACCCTAATCCCCTGGAGGTAATCGTGGACAAAGGAAAAGATCAGATTACACAGCGTCTGGCATGCAGTACACTAGGGCACATTAGCCAGATTGAGTTATATGTCCCCGTACCTCCTGAGTTGCAGTTTTTGGGTTTGATTTTGAAACGACCACCTTAAAGGGTAGCATGCCTTGTGTGTTCATTGAAATATAGATCTATCATATGGAATGTCATGACGAGGGAAATCAGTCATCTCCCTGAGGACCTAAGCAAAACCAGTCTGTTCTGGTTTCCCAAATATAATTGCCAGCCTTCTGCTGTGCGCTGTGAGACCCCAGACGTTACCATCCCTGGCCCTTGCCTGCTACTTGCTTCTGAACACTCTCCCCAAATGTTTTTCATTCCCACAGCTGGGTCTTCCCCCTCCAGGCTTTTTTTTCTGCCTTTTCAGCTGATGATGGTTTTCTGGCTCCAGAAAACTTCCTAGATTGTTACAAACAGTGCTTGTGGGGATAAAGGATTGTCCCGATTTAAACAACAAAACTAGGACAATCTTGCAAGAGTCCAGATGGGTGACCATCCCACATGAACACTTTGTGACGTTTCTGTCTTCTTTCCTCCCCAATCATCAAACACGAACAATGTCATTATTTTGAAAACTCAGAAGTAAAACAAAGGGTTTAATTGTGACCAAAGGTCTGTTCACTAGCCAGTCTGCAGAGATCACCTGAAACACTGTCTCATTTCATCCCCCTTAGGGATCTGATTACCGCATCCTAGTCAAATAAAAGACTACTATCCATATCACTTTTTGTGATATCATCTGTATCAAATATTTTCCATTTCCCATCAACTGAGACTGGGAAGATGATGATCTGGCTTCCACAATTTTCTACATAAATGAACTGCTACATTTAACAAACAACTTGCTTTCTACCATACAGACTATTTTCTAGGGATGTAGTCAAGTATTATTCTGTACTCAGACTCCCTTGAAGATCTGTTGTTTGAGTTGTAAATTGTACCTGATGTTTTAGGTGGAGTGTGTTTATTTCTGTTGAAAGAACATGCCCTATTTTTATGGAAGGAAAAAATATTGTAAGACATCAAATGTTTCTTACAAAACAATTTGATGAAATAAATGTAAATGAATCAGAAACATGTGAATTGTATTTCTAAGATTAATTGGGTTTTTACGAAGGGAGTAAAGTGCTTGGGGGGAAGAGTATGGCAAGGCTGGAAGTGACATTTGTTTTCATCAGTCTTGGATTCTTGAAAAATGGCCTAATACTCTGAATTCAACCTTATTCAGTTTCTCTCTAAAGCTTAATGATGGAGTTCCAGAGTGGGACAATAATATGCAAATTTGTTATATAGCTCTTACTGGCTCCAATTATAATGTAGTCCCCAAACACTGGCACTGTGCAATCCTTCAAAAGCACTTTCAGTTTGAGGCTATTGGATTTTCTATTTTTGATTTTCTTTTGAGGGTAAACAGGAAGTTATAATGATGCTCAAGTACACTTTTTCCTCATAGAACAACGTGTAAAGATTTTGGACTCACGTGACAAGTTCACATTTGTTTCTAACTGAAGATGATCAGGTCTAAATGGAAATCACGTGAGAATGAGTTATGCACACATAGTAGAAGAAGGGTAAGGGAGAAAAGGTGATGGAAGAAACAGAGAGAGAAAGGGAATGAGAGGAGAGAAGGGGGAAAAGGGATGTGCACCGCAGGCTCACTTCAGCCATCAGACCTCTGTTCCTAAGAAAGCACTCAAATCACACTAATTATTTGAAGGTTGCAAACATTTCATCCTACAGCTTTAGGTTCAAATCATTTGTGCTTGCTTAGAAACAACTACATAGCTTTTTTTTTTCATATTTTTCAATTTTAAAACATACATTACTTTGAAAATTGGGAAAAAATTTAACTGAGAAAAGGACTTTCAAATAAGTCTCCTGTAAACATGCCTCAAAATATAGGTTTGATACGTGGTGTGGTGTTTCAGTTTCTCAACAATCAGTCTCTGAAAACTGGGACATTTGAAGTGCTCCGAGGGCTTCCAAGAGGCAAGGGGGGCCTAAGTGGAGAATGTATTTTTGTTTTTTTATGTGAACCTGCTTAAGTAACCTTCTGAACATACAACTTGGTAGAGAAATGTAGAAACAGAAGTCCTTTCTGTATAAGTTGATGGAGCAGTAGCCCTTAGGGCTATTTTTGTGTGTAAGGAGCCTGCTTTTCAGTTTCCTAAGAACATGGTGATGCAATAGCAGCAGTTTAGCATCTCTGACCACTCAGGCCTTGTGGCTGCTCATCACCGGGGCTGGAATGAGGACGCTGTGCTCCTTGACTTCTTTGTGCCGAACAGTTCGTTGCCTCACACTGTTCTGGAAATAGTTCTCCTCCTTGATCTTCTCAGGCAGGAACTGTGAAGAGTCACTCTTAAAATATTTGTTTCAGAATTGGGCAGGAGATGTGTTTTAGCATCTAGCACAGCCCTTAGTTGTTTTATTTGACCTTCCCCTCATCCTAGTTTAGCAGATGAAAAACGAAGTGGCCAGACTGATGGTTTCATCTACACCTTAAATCAGTGGCAGTATAACAAGTTACAATCGTCTCTGAGCCCCCAAAATCGCTCTTAAGGGCTCTCCTCATCAATACAGTGTCTCAATTCCAAATCCAGTGTCATGCCAATGAAAATCTATGAATGGTGTCCACTCTCTCTTTGCCACTATCAACAATCAGAGTTTATCAGGTTCCCAGTTAAGTAGGTCACTGTGCAGGGTCTGGGCTCAGAACCCTGTTACAGTGGTACAGGTCCCTCAAGGACGGCATACTGTGGGTTATTTTCCATCATGATTCGCGGTGGTAATTTTTCACAGGCATTACAGGATCTAACCCACTTTGCCTTTGGTGCTTTGCTCCACTTCCCGACAGGCCTACCCCTGCAGCAGCGATAAGGAATGTGAGATGGGGAGGTACTGCCACAGTCCCCACCAGGGAGCGTCGGCCTGCATGGCGTGTCGCAGGAAAAAGAAGCGCTGCCACAGAGATGGCATGTGTTGTCCTGGCACCCGCTGCAGTAACGGTAAAGATCTAGCTCAGTGTTGCTGGGCTCATTCTTTTCATGTAGGAGGCCTGTCTAGAAGGTAGGCTAAATTCTCCTTGTCAGCCCTTGAAAACGTAAGGAGGCTTTGAACACTGACAGGGATTGGATCATGGTTCAGATTCATGTAGGATTACCCGGATTATGTCCCAAATCAGTATTTCTGGGATCTGGTCACCTTCCCTATTTTATAACCCATGGCGATCTAGGAGTTCCATGTTGATATGTCAGATGGAAATAGCTAGATGTTCTTCCATCAAACACAGAAGTGTGTACATGTGAAAGGACCGAAGAAACAACCTGCTGTGATTTAGCAACCCAGCTGTGAGACCCTCTTGCAGAGTCATACCCGTTTCTTGCCTTGATTCTCATGTTCATGGTGTTTTTTAAAAGTCCTCCCCATGGCACAGTCAGATGGTGATGGAGTGACTGGTGCCCCCAAAAGGAGACACAGGAGTCTATTCCCAGCCTTTCCATAAGCCTAGCTTCCCCCAATCTTCATGAATTTATAGGCAGACAGTCTAGCATTATAATGAAATAAAGAATCTGGACAACACATAGTGAAACCATTAAATAATCTCAGAAGGTAGTCAGAAACATACACTTTGTCATACAAAACAACATAAGTAGACTCACATTATCTTTATAGTTCTTTCTGACCTCTGGGCATAGTCCTCCTGGGAGTTCCTTGGACAGGAGGTGAAGAAAAGACCTCATACATTAGAGATGTTTATGGTTTTGTAACCAAGATTGCACTGTTGGCTGAACAAAGGAAGCTAGATCCTGAAGATGGATGGCTGGTCAGACAATTTTAAAGTACTAATAACTAATATTAATTTAATGCTTTACTATGTCACTTTTCTAAGCACTTCACATGTATTCACAGTAACAGTGAAATGAATTCTGTTTTTATTACTTTTTTTGCCCAAGGTCACTTGATCTTGAGAGAGATAAGATTCTAATCAAGGAAGCCTGGCTCAGGTCCAAACTAGCCAATACTCCATCTCAGGAAATATGTAAATAAATGAATGGATGAACGAATAGATGGGTGATGATGATAGATAAATAGATATATAGATATAGATAGATAGATAGATAGATAGATAGATAGATAGATAAGTAAATAGGTGATAGATGGCTTTGTACCTCCCATCAGAATACATGGATAAGGAACACACTTTACAGAACTGGATGTCTAACTGCTTACCAACCATCTCCAGGCATCTGCATCCCAGTCACTGAAAGCATCTTAACCCCTCACATCCCAGCTCTGGATGGCACTCGGCACCAAGATCGAAACCACGGTCATTATTCAAACCATGACTTGGGATGGCAGAACCTGGGAAGGCCACACACGAAGATGTCACATATAAAAGGTAGGGGAGCTGCAGGTCTGGGTTTACCTTTGCTTGTTCTGTAAAGAAGTAGAATCATCCTTTTGATTTTAGAAAAAAATACAAGGAAGTTATTTTAATGGCAGCATTTTAACTGAATTTATTCATTCTTAATTATGTGGATGCTAGACATTTCCTAAAGACAACAAATTGTTAGAAAATATATATTATGTGAATTGCAGCCCTCTGGTCAACACACCATCTTCTGAACAGTCCTGCAGTTTTTACATGGAATTTAGAAGAAATCTCCTTACAAGTATGTCTGTCACATATCAAACAGTAAAGCAGTCTGAAAAATAAATAAATAAATGGGAATACATTTGCCATATAATTAATTAAATCACTAAGCTTTGAGTCTTTTTCTCACCTTTCTATGTTCAGAGATTTTATTTCACTAAACTAGATATGTTACTATTCATAAGCCAATTTACCGAATGTAATAGTGGATTATGTATGGCCCTTCAATCCCTTTCGAAGCCTAATCACTAACAGTAAAACTTCAAAGTATGAAATTGTTGGACCTAATTATGAACAATACAATTTGGAAAGCATGAAACCCCTCCAGTTTTAAAGGGGACTTTTCACAAGTGCATTCTGAGGAGTGCGGCTCTTTCAAGATGTTCTGTGAATTAAAGTACCCTGTGTTCAAGAGCTGTGTAATAATGCCTCTCTTTCCACTTTTGGAACTTTATAATAAACATTGGTACCTTGAAGGCTCTGAGAAGTTCAGCAACGAGGAAAATCAGTCGACTCTTTTAAACACTGTATTCCCAGTCTAGACCACAAAACCATTTTCCCACATTTCCATGTTCTCCAGAGCTAGGATCCTGTAGAATATCTGACCTACTAGTCTGACCTAGAATATGAATGGTCACAGGGCTAGTGCTAAAGCGATTGACAATTCCTCTTCAGTTATCCTTTGTCTACACTCCTGAACGCCTAAGTCTCTGACTGTATCTCCTTTTCCATTCCACCAAATTTACATGCATTTGTTATTACATGAGTATCCCTCTTTATTCCAACACTTATGTCACAGTATGGTTTCAAACTTACTAATTATTTTTATATAATTATGTGTGTAATTTTTTATGGCAACTAGAAGGAACTGAGTAGTGCATGTGTCCATATCACACAGTGGGCTGGTTATGTCTGGGGTGATAGCTAACCCTCCAGACCAGGCTTGGCACACTAAGGCCTCTGGCCTTGACCTGTCCTTCTCCCTGTTTATATAAATACTGTTTGATTGAGTCACAGGCTATCCCAGTCATATGTATTATCTGTAGTGGCTTTGGCAATACAACAGCAGAATTGAGGAGTTGTGACACCGATCAGATGGCCTGAACAACTGAAATATTTATAATCTGGCATGTTACAGAGAAATTTGCTGACCCTTTCTTTATACAGGTTACACATCAACCCAATTATGATGTGTGGATGCTCTTTGTTGACTTGATCTTTTTTTTCTAAATTAAATATCCAGATGTGCTTGTTTTCTGTGACGGGTTCCTGCCTGACCCTGGGGCTGTCTGCCCTCTCTCTGCTCCACTCTGTGTCAGCCCCTTACAGACCGAGTTTCCCAGACTCCTGTCAGGTGGCTTTGGCCACGTGGCTTTGGCTGTGGTGGGAGATGGAGAGGCAGAGAAAGAAAACAGCAGGCCTATTCTCCAGGCTTCTGGTAGTGTTCTGGCAAAGCTGGATCTCCCTAGGGCTTCAGCTCCTGCCAGGCGAGCCTGGTGGGATTCTGGGCCCAACCAGAGATTCCCATCCCTAGACTCTGACATCAGTGCTCCTCTGGGTCCACCAACCTAAATGCGGTACAAGCTTCCTGCGGTGTTGCTTTACCGTCCTGTGGTGCTTCTTAGTCCTGCAACTACCTGTGGGTCCAGTTCTCTGCATTAAATATCCTCTGTTCTGAATACCCAGAGTTTCTGTTTTCCCAGCTAGACTCTAGCTGGTATATGGTCTTAGGAGTCCCTGAGAATTACAGACTTCTCCCTCATTCAGAGTTTGTTTACACTTTCTAAGAAGATATTGAGCTAATTAATTTGAAAGTATTTATCTTTACTTATTTTTCATTCATCTATTAAGAAACATAACAGAGAAATACCTAAAAGCAGATGATACCAAAATAAAGAGAAGATGAAGCACAGTTCCAGCCATTTGTTAAGCTTCATGTTCAGACAGCAAATAATGGACATAGGTCCTAATGGACTTATAAGATTAGATGGGGAGACAATTGATATGAATCCAAGACTTTTCATTACAAATGCTAATGTCATGGAAGATAGTATAAACAAAAATATTTTATGTGCTTCTGATTGTAAAGGAGTTTTTTTCTAGAGTGTTATGGTATTAACTTCTGGCCAACATCTCTGCAGGGCATGAAGGAGACCCCTGCCTCCGATCATCAGACTGCATTGAAGGGTTTTGTTGTGCTCGTCACTTCTGGACCAAAATCTGCAAGCCAGTGCTCCATCAGGGGGAAGTCTGCACCAAACAGCGCAGGAAGGGCTCTCATGGGCTGGAAATATTCCAGCGGTGTGACTGCGCAAAGGGCCTGTCTTGTAAAGTATGGAAAGATGCCACCTATTCTTCCAAAGCCAGACTCCACGTGTGTCAGAAAATATGATTGCCTCTGCGGAAAAGATCACCAACAGACTGTGAATCTGTGTATTTAATGCATTATAGCATGGTGGAAAATGGGGTTTGGGTCTCAGCAGAATGGCTAAAATAAGGAATGTGATAAGAATATAGGTCACAGAAAGAGAAAAAGAAAAAGAGAACTGGGAGGATTAGAAAGGATGACAAATGTAGTACAATCAGTGTGTTTCCATTTTGCAACTTGTTTATGTAAATAATGTACACACTTGTGAAAATGCTGTTACCAAAAAAAAAAGCACACAGTGACAATTATTGATGAATACCATGTCACATTCCTAGGGTTTAGGTGCTGCCAGAGGCTCAGTTTCTTTCTGATTGGTGATTGCCTATAAAAATTTCTAATCATAGTTATAGTCTAACAACATACTCCCCATATACCTTGGTGTACAACAGGCTCCAAAACATGAAAAGAGTTGTTAAATAGGAAATGAAATCATGGAGTAATAGTCAATTTGCAACATAGAAGCACCTTTTAATTTGAAACACTACTTGTACTGCTCAACTGAAGGCCTTTTTAGACAAAAAAAAAAATTTTTTTAAAGCAGTGCATATATTACACATAATTTCAAAATAATTGCCAGTCTTTTATCAAGGCCTTTACAAAAACCATACTTGTTTTCCTCAAACTACTTATTAAATATTTCAAAAATTTAATTTCACTTATAATTAGTAAGAACCAGTATAATAAGGAAAACAGTCTATTCAGATTCTAAAAGAATGAAATTGCAACTGTCCTGATTGTATGTGATTCCTGACCTGAATATATTTTATTTTCTAAGGTATACCCTTTAATTGCAAATATCACAGGGCAGAATTTTCATAAACTGCAAAAAATTTTAAGACGTCCAAATTATGTGGGAAACAATGCTAATGGGTCATTGTTTTTGAAGGCTTTGGCATTCCCTATATTTGATATAATTAGACTGATAAATACTTTTATTCTTTACATGCTCTGCAGAATACTAGGGTAAGCTGATGATAGAGACTTGAGCTATATCTGTCCTGCACTGAAGCACAGCAAGACAATGGAGAAAACCGTCAAGTACCCAGGTTTTGGTAACACACAGATCATATATCTGAAGCACAAACTGGCCTCTCATATTTGAAGCTGGAGGCTGCACAACCTAAATGGAAGTTGTCCATGGCCTTTGCTATCACAGTATTTACTATGCACTTGAGTTCAGTGTGAGGTCACTACTTGGCCTCAAAATATTTATTTTCTATTTTTGAGGTCCTAAAATAATCTTTATATGAGGAGGTCTCATGAAGTGGACTTCCACGGCAGGTAGGAATGTAAGGTTCCATTGCCCATGCACCATCTGATTTTTCTATACCAACCTCTCTCTGCAACAGATGTTTTTCTTGCCAAAGATACAGTTTCTGTTTTCTGCAGCCATTGAGGTTAAACAATATAAATGGAATAACTTGTAAAATCTACATATTGTTAATCTATAGAAACAACAGATTCTAAATTCTTTTAAAACTATTTTATTACTTGTTTTTACTTTACTCAGTTCTAAATATAATGTCTAGAGTGTAAAGCAAAAGAAGTCATCTTATAGTTGTTACTTTTGACATTTTCATTTATAGGCTGCATGTCACTCCTTAATTTCTTTTACTTAAATCCCATCTGCAGGATCAAATTCAAGTTCTCCCAGTAGAAATTGAATTTGAGCCTGCATGTTTATGAAGAATTTCAGGTTCCCACACACTTTTACCAGGATAATTAAGATTTACATTTTTCCCACATGTCTGCTAAAACAAAAATTACAAGCTAATCTAGCCAAGAACCAAAGTCTACACAAACAGGTTTCTGAAGAGAAGCTTGGCAACATGAAAATGGGACATTTCAGTCAAACATTTCCTATATAGCAATTACATTTACAATCTGGTTTCTGCGTTATTTCTCTTATGTACATCCCTTCAAAAATTATTATTTGAAGTAATTTATTTACAGGAAATGTTAATGAGATGTATTTTCTTATAGAGATATTTCTTACAGAAAGCTTTGTAGCAGAATATATTTGCAGCTATTGACTTGGTAATTTAGGGAAAATGTGTAATAAGATAAAATATATTAAATTTTTTCTTCTCCAAAAGTAGCATTCAAATTTCCTTGTGTTTTGCTTATGGGAAAACTTTCATAGAATCATAGATTCTGAGTTCGACTGAATCAGACTGGTCTGACTTTGCTGTCTGAGTCAATATCCTTGGATGACATCACTAAAATGATCCTGGGCAGTGTACTATTACTGAATGCAGTTGATTTCATGTCAGGACCACTATAATTGTTAGAAAGTTATATTTTCATGAAGCTAAAGTATTCCGCTTGGGCTTTCCACCCATTTATTTTTCCTTTGCCTTCTGGGACACCCTGTGGAGGGGCTCTCCCCAAACTTCTTCAAAATCCTTGAAGCCACCTACCATATTTCCTATTATCTTCTCTCCAGGGTAAAATTTTCAAAACTGGAGATGGCAACATGCTTAGATATGTTCATTCCCCTGCAGTGCTAAAAGGCTACAAAATATCTTTATTCCTATATGAATACAGAGGGAGTTACCTGGCCCTGCAAGAACTTAGATCCACTTCCTGGGAAGGTCTTTTCTCTGCTTCCTGAACACAGAGAAGTCAGGAGTGTTTAACAAACAGTGTTCATCAATTATGAGACCAGGAGTGTTTGTAAGAGCCCATGTTGTATTAGAGATGTCAATAGGCTAGAAATGTGGAAAATCAACATTCTGTGACATAGTGGAATGGAATAAGTATAGCTACGGCAACTTAGTGAAGCTAAAACAGAACCAAAGCCAGAGGTCAGAGCTGAAGGGGCCCTGCCGCCAGAGGATAGAGCTGAAGATACCTCAAGCACTGCTAACATAATTCCCATGTTATTCTACTTAGTCACTGAAGTGTACTCTTACATAGTTATTCATTTCCTCAAATTGAGAACAGTTATATGTCCTAACTACAGTGTATGTTTAGACAATCATATGGGTGGTATTTTTCTTTTTCACTGAGTTCAGTGGGATGCTCTGAGAAATGACAAATTGTCCTAACTTTCTTTTCAGCTAGGAAACAAAATGCCTTACTTTAGTTTTAGGATTTGAGGGTGTGGGACAGTTAATTACACCTTTCTCTACCCACATATTCTGGTCATAAGAAAAAGTTTAAGAAGAAAGACAGATGACAATTTACCCTATGGTTGATAAAGGTATTAGCAGACAATGTGATGTTCATCTGTGAGTAAGAGGCCAGAAAGAGACAGATTCTAAACCCCTTCTTGGGCAAAACCAGACAACATCTGTTCTACCTATGGGAGCCATCCTGTAAAATTCACAAAGTAGATGGGTAAAAAGAGAATGAAACGCTTTTTTTCTGGCAGTTAGTGCTGCCAGAAAGAATAAGGGTGGGGAAGGGACAGAACCATGAATTTCTCATTCAAGAATCTCATCTGAAATTCTCCAAAACTGGATAATTCACACAACATGAAAGGAATGAATGGGGTGAAGATGGAGTGAGACAAAGATTATAATATGCTCCACATTAAACTAACGTTGAGAATTAGAAAAGAAGCCCGTATCATTCCCCAGATCTTCATATTTTTAACCCATTGCACATCACTACTCGTTTATGGTGAAGATATGGGTTTTAGCCAAAGCCTAAGCAACTGTCTGTCTAGTAGAGCATTAACTGATGAGGTCATTCCCTTAATGCCAATTCCTCTTTTATGGATCCTCTTAGGACAAGGGTGGACAATTTAGATTTTAGTACCAGAAGATTGCCAAATGGATGAAAATAGTTCATTAATTCAATTGACTCCAAGAATACACTATAATCAGAATTGGAAAATAACTCCTTTTTCTTTTTATCCTCCCAAATTACATCCATCATATTATCTAACACAGTCTAGTAGAGGTCCTGCAGTCAGATTAACTGACACATTGGGTACCCGATAATAAAATATACAAAAACACTTAAATCATAAAGTTCCAATGATACAGAGATGGCCCACTTTTGAATATAAACCCTCTTCCATTAAAAAATCCCTAGGAATTTCATTATTTTTCTTTTTTATCACTGAGTAACATTCCATTGTATACGTGTACAAAGTCAAAATACAAAATTTAAATCCTCTTGCATTTTAAAGTAAAAAAAATGTTCAATTCCAAAGAAATTAAAGTCTATACTTGTTATAGTCTTCTTCAGAATAAGGAGAAATCAAAATTCAAAATTTTCAAATTAAAGGAAAAAGTTTGCCACCCTTATTCCATATTCTGCTCTGTCTCAAGCCAGAGGGGTTCTTGATGCCTGGGTGAAGTGGGACTCTACCAGCAGCTGTAGTCTGGACATTGTCTCCTTAGAATGAGAGATTTCATTTCTAATAAAGTTCAGTGAATTTTTAGGACACACAAGATTAAGTCAAAGATGTTACCACATTTAGAAAATAGCCTTATATATGTGGTAGTAGGTACAGTGGGTAAAAGCAGAAAACCAAACCAGTAGAGTTTATCCTTCATTGTATTTATACTCCAGTCGTTTTTTAGCTCAATAGCTAGGAGGCAGAAAATAACTAAATAACTATTATATAAATACTACAGGAGACAGGGATGAGCCCTATGAAGAAAACTGGAGCAGGGTAAAGGAATAGAGGGAGATGAATAGTGCTACTTTAGATTCTGTAGTCAGGAAAGGTCTCCTGGAGCAGGCAAGTATCAGTAGAAACCTGAGTGAAGTGAGGGTTTGACAATGGAAAGATGTGAAGAAACAGTGGTACAGGAAGCAGAGTCTGGGCTAACATGTGGCAATGGGAAGAAGGTGAGGGGGAGACAAGGGTGGGACGGGTGAGGGGAGAGAGATAGGAGATGAGGTCAGAGAAGGAGTTGGATCAGATGTGTAGAACCTTCTTGAGCATCATGAGTATTTTTATTTTGAAAGAAATATGGAGCTGGTGAGAGCTTTTGAGTAGCATGAGCTGACATGCTTTCAAAGGGTCAGCCAGACTGCTGTGTAGAAGAGACTAGAGCATCCAGGCAAGAACTGCTGGTGGCTCAGATCAGCGAGGAAAGGCAGAGGCCATGAGATATCACTGGACTTAGGGTATGCTAGAGGTAGAACTAACTGGATCTGCTGTTGTTAGACTTGATGAAGACTATGAAAGAAAGAGTGGATTCCCTCTAGCCTAGCATGAGGATTAAGGACATAGAGAAACTGTTGATAAGAAAAGAATGGTTAAAAAAACCCCTCCTTCCTA